ATACCTCATTAAAATAATTGGTTGACATATCACATGATCCAATTAACCTTTTCAAAGCAACCTTAATGGGTTTAGGTTCCGATTTTTTCCAACTTCCGTCATCTAGCTTATTAAATTTCAATTCACCATCGATCCATGTTGCAGAATACACTTTGGAAAATCCTCCTTCACCAATTTCTTTTATATTTGTGAATCTATGAAAAGGAACCCATTCTAGTAAAGTTGGATACATAAGATGTCTTTCATTATACATTGTATCTTTAATCAATTTATCAATATTAGCATATCCACTTGTCCATCTTTTAACGTTAATAATATACCAAGGATCACAATCTTTACACCATAAATTTTCTGAAAAAGGATTTTTACAATATGAACAATTATTATCTAATTTATCGACTTGAGTGTCATTTTCATCCATTTTTTTTTTAAAAAAAAAAATTATTTGGTTGCGTCAGTATTTATTCCCTTGACGTTCGGAGTTTCAAGTGATTATTTAATCAATCTTGTGATCACTTAACTAGGTCTTTAATAAACTTTTTGAATGTAAAGGTTAAATCATGTCATTTATGTAATATCTACTAGTGGCCATGAATTCATCTCATTCATCATACCACTCTCGTATTTTCAAAAGTCAAATTCATCACCTAAAAAAAATATGGTACCAATAGTTATAGCTCAATGCATTGAATCTTTAATTTTTGCAACCTTATATGTGGTCTCTGTACATGGATGAGTGCATCGGAAAAATAAAGTTTATATGCAAATTTTTCATAGTCAATCGTGTTCATTGTACGAATGTGTCTTGGCAAAAGTGATTTGTGATTTTTGTGTAACATAATATGCAAAAAGTCAGCTAACGTTATTTTAGATTTTAAAATGCACAGAGATTCATCTTTTTGAGAAACTTCAAACTCACGCCAAACTTTCTTGGTGAATGGTACTTATTTTACATATAGTGTCAACAAGCCCCTGGATTAATTTTTATGTTATGTATCATATTGCTAAATCCAATCCAAGGTGCTTAGGAAATGAATTGAGAAGGATAATCTTTGCTAACGTTATATCGCATCCTAAATTTATAATGCTTTCACTTAGAAATTAAAACTTTAAAATTTCTAAGTTATGACATATCTTAAGCTCCAGAATAAAATTGCTCAATTGATTTTTTTTGTCGCACAATTTAATATTCAAATTTAATAATAAATTTCTAACGATTTGGCCCAGTCAATATTTTACACATGACATATCTCGTGATTAATATATTTTTTTTCTTTTAAAGATTGTGGTACTGTAATAAGTTTATTAATTTTATCAAAAGTTACAAAGTAAAAAATAAAAAACCTAAATTATTACTATCCAAAAATCTAAATTATAAATGTCAGCAACAATCTAAAAACAAAAGTTACCAAATTTAAGAGTGAATAAAATACTAATATACCATATAGCAAAATTAATAATTTGAAAATCCTTTGGTCTAATTGTTCCTTAATGTTGATAATCAACGATATTTTTTCCGATATTTTCTATCTTTTGCAAAAATAAAGTTTTAATTAATATTTTTATGTTGAGATTACAAAATCTTCATATTTTATTATAATTATTTAATTTACGGGTGTCGATATTTTGAATATTTATATTTAAATGAAGGAAAATAAATATTTAAAAATCAAGACTTTTGATCACAATTTTCTATTTTTGCTCAAGCGAAGGTTGGTATGGAAATAAATAATTTCTTAATTTTATAATTTTCAAAATTATACCATATTAGTAAAAATAAAATGTTTTAAAGTTACTTATAATTTATAATTTTGAATTCTAAAAACACATTGCCAGTTATTAATCTGATTAATTTATAAAAATGCGTGTTTAACAATAGAGAGCAAGCAACTACTATTTATTTCTAAGAGGTGTTGTCATTATATTACTTTTATTTTTATTTTTTTTTATTTTAATTTTTCTTGATAAATATGAAGATTTAAATAATCAGAAATGATCAAACGCCAATTCATTATATAACCTTACCTTACCAAATAAGGTTATCAATCTCGGACAATAATAAATATTATCCTCATTTTTCTAAATTTATTACCCATATTATATAATGGTAAAAGTGAAAAAAATATCAAATTTTGTTTTTTTTCTGATTCATTAGTTTTTTTTTTTAAAAAAAATAAAATATATATATTCGCGGTAGTTAATATTCAATATGGAGGAAAAGAAGCAAAGAAATGTCGAAATTGAGATACCAGGACGTCATTTCCACCTTCCATTCGAACTCAATGAGACAAACAGACTTGGACCGTGGGAAATTTTGCTTAGCGAAAGCACCATCAAAGACATACGGGAAATGCTGTATAATGAGGACTTCAACGATATGCAAATAGAGTTACCTCTTACTATTGAAATAGTAATGGAAAAACTTAGACAGATATCATCCGGAGCGTGGAAAAAGTATGGTCTCCAACGTAGGGCATCATCTCACGCTATTCCTGTCTATAAAGTGGAACTTCCCGGAAACAACTTGAAAATTCTCTGGCAAGTTGATTATGGATTCTCTATTCACAAATATTCGTTCACGCAACATATAAAGGTCTGGGCTGTTACTGCAAGCCAAGAACAATTTGACAAAACTTTAGGAGCCCTTAAAAGAGTTCATAAGGTCTACACTTCTGAACATATTCGTCGATGCGCAATCCAAAAGATAAGCAAAAACAATGTAGTTTTACCGGAGAGTTTTGAAGATGAGGGAACGAGGTTCACCAACGAAGAATTGGACGATGAGAAACTATTAGATGTCCATAAAATTTTTGTTACCAATAAATTTATTCCTGTATCAAGGGTAAATATGCTAAGATCACCTAGTAAATTATATGATCCCGTAAGGTGATTTTAATAGCCGATCACACGAATAAATTTCTAAAATAAATTAACTTTTTCGCAGGATTTGTTCAAGTCGCTCATCCTGAGTGGTTCAGATTTCACCTTTTTAGTATCCAAGACCGAGTACGAGATAATTAACAATCCTTCATCGGCGGTCGTTTTTGGTCGATCGGGTTAATAATCTAGTTTTAGCCATATATAATTACAAAAGAAAAGGAAGTTGTTAATTTTTATTCTATATCATAATTAGGGACCGGCAAGACTACTTGTATCGTATTTAGACAGCTTGTTTCATATCTGAAAAGCCAACTTTACAAGACACCATCCTCGCATGGCTATGACGAGTATTTTTACAAAAGACAAATATTTATTACGTTGAACCCCATTCTATGCTTGCGAGTAAGGAAATATTTCAATCAGTTGCAAAAATCGGCGAAACTTGCTGGTGAGAAGATTTCTAAGGATCGGTTTATTGAATGGAAGAAGGAATACGGCAGTAATAAAGAACTTGATGACAATAAAATGCATGAGGAGGACGATGTGAAGAAAGTTATGGGCGAAATTCCGAACTCGTTCCGTTTGTTGACGGACCAGCATTTCCCATTATTTATTACTTATGAAAAGTTTTCAGAAATGCTTCTGGAGACCTACGGTATTGACGTTCGAATGTTGACCACAAAACAAAAAAAAAGTCACAATGCTGATAATGATGACGAGGAGGAATTCCGTATTAGGTCTCCATTCGCAAAAATGTCAAACGCTTTGTGGGCTTCTTTTGTAGACTATGATATGTTCGTAAAAAAGTATTGGCGTCATTTCGGTGATTATTATAGAAAAAAACTGGATTGCGAGCTGGTCTATTCTGAGTTCTCTATTATCAAGGTATGCGATTATAAATAAGCACTACTCTAGAATTTTTTGATTTTGGAATTTGAAGTTTTTTTTTCAAAAATAATTTGAAGGGCACGAATACTGAGGTAGACTACCTATCGAGGGATGAATACCGGTCCATTAGTACTAGGAAATACCCAGCATTCTGTCACAATCGTGATGATGTTTATGATATATTTGAACGATATGAAAAGATGAAAGCGCGGAATTATGATTTTGATTCAGTGGACCGGTAAAGACTGTGTTTTTTTGTTTTTTAGTTTACGATAGGACTTAATAGTATTCGATTTTTTTTATCGTAGAACTCTAGCCATATTACGTGCAACCCGAACAAGAACGTTTGATGGACCACACGTTCATGAAGTGTACATTGATGAATGTCAGGATAACCAGATCATAGATTACGAGCTTATCTTGAAACTCTTTGGTCATGCTGAAAGTATTTTTATGGCAGGAGATGTAGCACAATGCATTGCCCGAGGGTCTACTTTCCGATTCCGGGGTATGTGTAAGTTAGTCCTTCAAGAATAAATAAATTTGTTTCCTAAATTTTTTTTAAAAAAAAATTAAATAGACTTGTACGCATTGATTCACCGATGGAATCACAATCCTTTAAAACCAAAAGAGTTCGAACTAAATGTTAACTATCGCTCCCACAAAGGGATTCTTCAACTAGCTTCGTCTGTAATTCACCTCCTCCATGTATTCTTTCCTGATTCTATCGACCAGCTGTCACCTGAATTCAGTGAGGTTGGTGGTCCACAGCCTCTCATCATCGAAGGTTGTGAGGCTAAAGCACTGTTTGTCCATAGAAATGATAACACAAATACAGATGAATTTATTGAATTTGGAGCTGGTCAGGTCATTATCGTACGTGATGAAGCGGCTAGAAAGCGTTTGGAGGCTATAAATAAGGATATTGGTTTGGTTTTGACTGTGTTTGAAGCCAAAGGCATGGAGTTTAATGACGTGCTATTGTTTAATTTCTTTAACGATTCGCCCGCACTTTTAAAGGTTTGATCTTGTGAAATTTGTTTTCGAGTATAATATAGTCATTTATCAAATGTTGCTTTGATTATTTACTTTTTGTTTAGTGGCGAGTAATTCTCTCCGATTTGGATGACTATTCCAAGGGGATTCGAAAATTCTCTCCTGAGAAGCATTATATTCTTTCCTCAGAACTCAAGCACCTATATGTCGCTATAACCAGAGCCAGAGAGCGTCTCTGGATTTTTGATGAGAATGCTAAGTTGAGTGAGTCAATCCGTACATACTGGGTAAGAAAAAATCTAGTGAAAGTAACGAGTGAAATCGACATCTCTACCTTTACGAAGTTAAGTAGTCCGTCCGAGTGGAATCGTGAAGGAAAGTCATTTTTTGAGCAACGGAAGTATGGACAAGTAAGCTCTTAAAATATTCAATGCTATACAAGGATGATCTGAATTACTAAATGAAAGAGAATTACCTTTAGGCTATCTTCTGCTTCAAAAAGAGTGGAAATGAGAAATACGAAAAATTAGCCCGTGCATATTATCTTCAAGAAATTGCCAGGACTTCCTTCTTAACCGGTTCTAAAGAAAAGCTAG